CGAAATCATGGCAACAGTAAATAAATTAATCTTGATTTGGCTTTTTTTTGATAGCCATGGAGGAATTTTAAGAAGAAAATCCTATTTGAATAGAAGTTGTTAAAGCTAAAATGCTTTCTTTCCCTTCCACCGGTCAGCCAGACGGGCCCCTTTCTGCTCCCAGGGCCTTTGCACGAGCCGTGCTCCACCTCCACGTCTTTACCCAACTGGCTTCCTGTCCTCCCTCAGGTCCTGCCCAAAGGCCGCCTCCTCAGGGTGGCTGCTCGCCCATTCTGGTCCCATTCGTCCCCGTTTCTCAGTTGTCCCCAAGCGCCTGTCGCGCTGCAGTTCTCACGTGATGACTGTTTGTCAGGACAGCGCTGGCCGCCAGCTCCCGGAGTGTTTTTGTTCGATGGGTTGAGTGAATGAAACAAACGCATGCTGATTTTTTTTTTTAAGAACTAAAATAAAACAGCCCGGCCAGTGTGCTCAGTGGTTGAGCACCGACCCATGGACCAGGAGGTCAGGGTTCGATTCCCGGTCGGGGCACAGGCCCGGGTTATGAGCTCAGTCCCCAGTAGGAGGCATGCAGGAGGCAGCCGGTCCATGATTCTCTCTCATCATCGATGTTTTTTATTACAGTTTCTCCCTCTTTCTTCCTCTCTCTGAAATCAGTCAAAACATGTATTTTTTAAAAAGAACCAAAAAAAACCCCACAAAACACTAGCAGCAAGTGAGTAAATGATCAAAACAGAACAAAAAACTAAGAGGCGAATAAGTGGGTGGGGTCCTGGGGCCCCAGAGACACCCGCCCCCCTCACCCCCCATGAACACCAGCTCGGGGCCGGGGGTGGGGCTGGGGGGCCGGGGCCTGATGCCTTCTCCGCTCTGGGCCCACAGGCAGCCACCCGTCCAGCAAGGCGGCCCAGGACCGGAAGCTGACGTCCACGCCCCGCGAGATCGCCAAGTCCCCGCACAGCGCAGTGCCCGAGCACCACCCCCACCCCCTCTCGCCCTACGAGCACCTCCTCCGGGGCGTGAGCGGCGTGGACCTGTACCGCGGCCACATCCCGCTGGCCTTCGACCCCGCCGCCATCCCCCGCGGGATCCCCCTGGATGCAGGTGACTATCCGGGGCGCACGGGCCCCGAAGCCGGGTGGGGGCCCCATTCGTGTGGCTCCTCGTACATCAGTGGGGCTCGGCTGTTTGGGGAAACGGAGGCTTAGAACTGGGGCGGCCGACGGTGCAGCCGTGGGGGGGATTGCCTGTTTGGGATTTGCCGGCAGCGCCTGAGGGACAGGCTGGGGTGACGTTTCCCAGGGGTTTGCCCAAGGGACTGGTCAGCGCCTTTAAAATCGCAAACAGCCCTGGCCGGTGTGGCTCAGTGGATAGCGCCTCGGCCTGCGGATCGAAGGGTCCCGGGTTCGATTCCGGTCAAGGGCACGTACTTGGTTGCAGGCTCCTCCCAGCCCAGGCCCTGGTTGGGGCGTGTGCAGGAGGCAACCAATCGATGTGCTTCTCTCACATCAGTGTTTCTCTCCGCCTCTCCCTCTCCCTTCCACTCTCCCTAAACATCAGTGGAAAAATATCCCCGGGTGAGGATTAACAAAAAAAATCACAAACCGTCTCAGGAAGCTCCAGTGGGCGTTCCCGGAATCTTCGGGTGCCCCCCTCGGTATTTCGGGGACCCACGTTTCCCACGCCCGGCAGCTGGGAGAACTTCAACCCAGAGAACACAGTCACCAAGAGCCCCCACGTGTTTGGGGGAACAACTGTCTCTCTCCTGAGAGGCCTCAGTTCTCTCCTGGGCTGTTTGGGGCGATGCAGTGAGGGTGCGGGCGTGGGGGCCACGAGGACAGGTGGGGTGTCTGACCTCTGACCCCGTGTCCCTCTCCCAGCGGCCGCTGCCTATTACCTGCCCCGGCACCTGGCCCCGAACCCCACCTACCCGCACCTGTACCCGCCCTACCTCATCCGCGGCTACCCCGAAACGGCGGCACTGGAGAACCGGCAGACCATCATCAACGACTACATCACCTCCCAGCAGATGCACCACAACGCGGCCACCGCCATGGCCCAGCGCGCCGA